AATTCATGCAAATTGATGTTTGAGTTGGCGTCTTAAATTTTATTTTCAGTTCATTTTTAAGTGTTTTAAGTTGTTTTGTTTTGTATTTTACGTTTCTTTTGAACATTTTTTGGGTATAAAAGTGGGCAGATATTATAAGATTTATTTTTCTTCTGCTGCCTTTCATTTTATTTGATTTTATTTTGATTGCACAGTTTTTTTTTTTGTACTTTTAAATTTGTGTCTGCAAATGAAATGAATAAAGTGAAACAACACAATGTTGATCACAACATCTAGAGTTGTTATCCTGCGTTGTTTATTTAATAATGTTAGAGTTAGCGACTGGTTTTACCAAACTGTGGTTAAAAATGACAGAGTAGCTTCGTCAGCTAACAGCTGTTAGCAGTTAGCTCGGAGGCTAACGCTTAGCAGTTAGCTCGGAGGCTAACGCTTAGCGGTTAGCTCGGAGGCTAACGGGCACGGCAGCTCAGAGCGAGCGTCGTAAATACCCGGATGAAACCATCATGGCTGCCGCTCGCTGAGCTGTCAAGCTCTTCTCGAAAGAGGAAAAAAAGGTAAAAAAAAGAAAAAAAAAGAGAAGATAATTAATTGAACAAAGAACGGGACGACAGTTTGAACGGTTCTGCGTTGATGAATAACCGGTTCCACCGGTTCGTTCGGCCGCTGGAAGCGGACCGACGTTAATGACGGCGGAACTTCGGTTTCTGCTGAACTTATTCCGTGTCTGAGCTCCTCTCCGTCTGTTCGTCGTGTTTGATTCAGGTCTGTGCGCGAACAGAACCGGGATTAAATTATTTTAAAAAAGCATTTTTGAGTTTTCCTCAGCGGTAAAGTTTAATCTGAGTTCATGTTTCAGGTTTTCTTCTCGCTCCCAAACAAACAAACCATTCTTATAAGTTTGTTGTGGTTTTAGTGTTAACTGCACAAACAGTGAGTCTCCTTTCCTCATGGTTTAATTTAGTTTTAGTTGTTTATTTGTAAAGTTTCTTGACTCCACGACTCGTTTCTGCACCTTTTTGTCTTTAAACTCATAAAGCCGTCAGTTTCCTGCACCTGGTTCTTCACATTTTATCTTTATTTGTTGATTTGTGTTGCATGATTTAAGTCAGACTCAACATTCATATTGAGGCAACTTTATCCAACAGGTGGACTTTAAATAAAATGGCATGCAGCTTGTCTGTTAGCAAAATATCTTAAAACAAGAGGTTTTTATTGTGCCTAACTGTTGGGTGTTTATCTGACCAGTTTTTTAATTTATTTAACCTTTTATAGGTAGATCTCATCTCTTTGTTCAGTAGAGACCTGGTCAAGAACAGCAGCACGCAGACATTACAAAATTCAAAACTACAAATATTAAACTACAATCAAATACTTCACAATACATAAAAGAAAAACAAGAAACACTCATAAAAGGTAAGATAAAACTAAAATAGAGCACAGTTAAAACATTTACAAACAAATGTATTTTTTGTCACTTCAGTAGAAAACAAAACCAAATATTGGTTTTAGTTTATTTCTTCATCATCAGTGACTTTTTTTAAGTGAAGACAAAAACAGAGAGAGAAGTAATTAGAAAGATTACACTACGCTACACATTCTCCTCTCATCACTGAGGTCCTCCATCCACATGACAGAGAGGGGAACACAAAAATGGCTCAGCCTGCAACT